ATTGGACTAAGACAGGAAATATCTAGATTCACATCCCTCTTCATCCATGGAATCCTTCTAGTTAATTTTGATCCATTCACTCAGCCAAAGCTGAGTATTATTCCCCTCAGCACAGTATTATTGCTGAGGGGAACATTGGACTGAGTGTTAAATATACTGGCAAAAATTCCTCGAAGAAAGCAGGCTATATATCTAATAATAGGTCTCCATTGGCATGTGATACTGTATGTGACCCAGTCAAATTGGGGAATGGATTATAGAAGAAAAGATTCAATGCAGATTTTAATCCATTTTTTTTGTGAACTCATTGTTATGCCCACAAGAAACTGTATGCCACTAATGGGGGAATAAACAGACATGGCTAAACAAGCTAAATTCAAGATGAAGATGTATTTCTGCGCCTACAAGTTACAATGTTAGAATGTTCCAAAAATTCTGGCTTGCATAAGTTACTGAATTTTATTCCATGCAACCATATAATATATTGAATGTCCATGCCAAGTAAAAAAAAGATGCTGGAACAGGAGTGTTGCAGTTTTGTTTGTATTACAAATTTAAATGAATTGCCATCTTGGTGTGATAAATTGTATTCCTTTGTATTATATGTTGATTAAAATATATGCATTAAATGTATATTTAAATCCATTAAACATATTATTGCTGTTAATAATAATGTCATATTTCTTTTTCCTTTATGGATAACAATGAAATAAAATATAAACTATAACATAAAATAATGAAAATATGTGTATAAAATGTGGACAAATGTTACAGTCATTATAAAAATTTAAAATTATGACTTAAAGGCATAGTTGTTAAAATAATGTGTTTAATATTGTAAAGCAGTATTAGCAGCCATGTTAAATTATTTTGAAGATTGATTCAGTAGAAAACTCACTTGGTTGCATTGCATTTTTCCTTGTTGATATTACACATGCAAAACAAGTATGCTTCTAGTTGGGTAACCATAAGTCCTTTTTACATTTCCACAGGCTATAACTGGTGTGTATGTTCATGTGTTTGTAAGAGGGTGGGAAGGGGAAGTATTTCATCAGTTTTGCCTAAAAGAATTGGTAACTGTAATAGGTTGAGCAAATGGAGAACCATAGAACAAAGCTTGATTTCTACCCAAAAGTTTAAGATCTTATTTTTCCTATTTCCTGAAGACAGACTTTTTGTAAGATAGACTGATTACAAGTGTTAAGCCAAGCAGAGGGATTTGAACTGCCAAGCAACTGCATTTGCTCATGATACTATAAAAATTTTCTTATCTTGGGAAAATCAGCTCCAATGTAGAAAATTTTCCTTCTTTGCTTCCAAGTCCAAAGAAATTGCAAAGGAGGAATTCCATTGTGACATCCTTAATATATAGGGAGGCAAAGAGGCTAAGCATAGCTAAGTAGGATAAAAAAAAGAGTAATTCATTCATGTCCCTTCGTCATTGCATCACATCAACCTGACCCTGTACACCCTTTTCCTTCTTTTCTATCCCATAAAAATGGTAGAAAAATTGATAACTCATTTTCAGTACTTCTAGTGCTCACAGAAGTGAATGAATTAACATAAATATGCACTTCGCAATCCCATGTTTCTCAAGCACATATTGAGTTTTTCTCTAATGTATAAAGGAGACTTAAAATAAACCAAATGCATAAACATACACAATTGATTCTTTTAGGAGCCAGTTTGGTGTAGTGGTTAAAGGCACCAACCTAGATATATGAGACTGAGTTCTAATGCTGCCTTAGGCATGAAACTAGGTGGGTAACTTTGGGCCAGTTGGCCTCTCTCAGTCCTAAGAAGCAGGCAATGGCAATGTTGGCAAGAAACTGCAGAACTTGTCCAGGCAATCGCCAGGAGTCAAGACTGACTCAAAAGGACATACAGACAAAACCCTCTAATTAGTAGTCAGGTTCAATCAGTAATGGAGACTTACTGTAACAAATTCCATATGAATACTTCCTTCTTCTTTACTATATGCCTCATGATGTGCAGAAATAATTTTTCCAATTCTATTGTTATTTCTAATGTGATTATTATGCAATTTCTCCAATTTGTGATTAGTTTTGCAAAATTTCTTTGAAAAAAAGTCGTGCAAGCTAATGGAGATTGAGTTAATCCTCTCTATAGATTAGAATGAATCATAGGATGGTTTTAGCTTTCTTGGTTCTGTTTCACCGCATAAGGAGAAAAGTACACTGAGAGGAGAACTTCTACTGTATTTGCATTAAATTGTAGAAAAAACATGACTAGTGACAAAGATTGGGAGAGTGCTGAAATTAGATTAGTAGGCTTTATTTCTCTAGATAGAGCTGGTCTAACATGGGATTACGAAACAAGAAGACCTTGCAATGTTAAATATGTTGCTTTGAGCACCACAGGTTTCAGAGAGCAATAGCTAACCTTGGGAAGAACTGTCAACATGGCAGCCATTGTCAAGCTATTATCCTCACTCAGAAATTGAAATTGTAGCATGTGACAAAGGCACCAACATGGACAAAGTCCACTTGGATTGAAATGCCTTATAAGTAGCATTAAAGATGATTAAGATTGCTAAGTGATCTTGGGAAAAGATGCAGCTTTTTTCCAATATTGCTCCTGCATGCTTCCCCAGCAGGAAGGTTAGAACACTGTGCAGACGTACAATTTAATGCTACTCTCTACTGCAGTTTAATGGAGCAAAATAAACCTTAGGTTTATTAAACTGTGCCATTGCTGCCCTATTAAAATGCTATTTCTACAACAGTAGAAATGTTCTTCTACTTTGAAAATATTAGGCAAACAGTGTCTTCTAATTGCCCATCTAATTTGCCCATCACCAAAATGGAAAATGTTGACAATCAGTTGAAAAAAAAATGTATTAATTTTGTTCCTATGGTAAGAAGAAGTCATTGGTAAGTGTTGGTAAGTGGAATTAACTATCCGTATATTCTGTATAGGAGTCCAAACTATGGACTGTGTCTGAAGTTCAACCTTTCACCTTGGATAGAGTTATGACAAGGAAACTCCCAATTCCCCCTTCCAAATGCAGGAAAACTTGGAATACCGAGAAAAAGACAGATAGAAAAAACTTCAAAGGCTGATTTCCGCTCCTCACCTCCATAAAATGTTCAGACATTTTCAGATTCAACTCCACATCAAGAGGCAAGTGCCTACACATCAGACCATAAGGTAAGATTATTTTAAATGCGTAACTATGCCTTTGGCTTATTGTTTTGTAATTGCTGTACAGCTTAATGCTTACATGAATATCTTGTATCTAAGTGATCTTGCTTGAAAGAATTATCAGTACCAGCAACAAATCCTTCAATTAAATGCTCAGCGTGTACTCAAAGATGAAAGTAGTAGTGGTTGGGCTCTTTGTTTTTTTAATTCTTGAAAAACAAAATGAAAAATCCATTTTCCAGGATGGTGAGTTGAACTAACTAAAGTTAAGGTGATATTTTAGGTTGCAATAATATGATATTATATTTTTGCATTATATTGAAAGATTAAAAATAATAATCCTCACTGTAGATGAATTACATTGAATTATTTGAAGCTGTATCCCTAGCTTTGCCTCTGTGTTAGGGTTTTGTAATGGCTTGGTCATCTGCAATAGAAATGGTCTAATATGTAAACAATTTTTATGCATACCATACTTTCTTTCAGATGATCACATTAATGCATATGGATATTTATTGGCAGAGCTAGGTAGGTTCATTCCTAGTACTAGGGGCAGCCCCAGGAAACCGGTTCCTCTGTTTTACAATATTCATAAACAAGACTTATATCCCCATAGGCATGGCTTTTTATTTAATTTCATGAGTGACAGTTATTTAAAAGTAATACTCCGAAATCATATGAACTCAAGAATCTTAATTGTCTGAAAGTACGTAAAACTGAAAACAATTGCCTTTGTACCCAAATATCTAAATCATTAGTTTTAACTGACTAGATTCTTATAACACCAAAGGATGAGAAAAGTCATCCAAAGTTTTTGAAAATTGCATGCAGTATTTCCATAGATAGAGATTCCTTGCTACAGTTACCCTATATGTATATAAGTATATAGGGTAACAAGGAAGATATCAGGGAAAGCAGTTAGATCACTCATCCAGTCTTTGCAGGTTATGAATATATGTATTCAGGAAAAATTGTCTACCACTGCTTCTATAATGCTGTTGGGACTCACAGATCAGTGAATTACCTACCCTGAATTTTTTTTTATCCAGGATCTTAAAAGTCAACTTGTTAAAAAGATATACAGTATATAGTTAGTCAAGTTCATGTGTGTATCTTAATATATACACTAGTTGCCCCTTCATTGATTCAGTAACTGTCTATCACATTTTCTTCTATACATTATTTATTTTCTGGGAATCAAAATTTGAATTCTGATCAATAAATTTACACTATTCCATAGCAGGGAATAATGCATGTGTGAGAGATATAAAGCATGCAGCTATATCAGCTATATAATTATAACTTATATTAACACATGACCTGGCTGTAAAATATAGCAGTTTATTAGACCATGTAAATGGTCCTAAGTAAAGTATATGGATTAAAATATATTACTTTAGAAAGTAGAATGTTAGGAAAGAAAGATACAAGCATTGGTGTGGGTAGGCATGAGTGCAACTTGGTTTAGTATTGTTAAATCTTACCAACATGATATGATACAGATGCAAGGTAAAGCAGAATGATTTTTATTTGTTCGATCTGTCTCTCCACCCTACCTCCACTCTGTTTCCTTGATGGGGAAACATTCCATTCAGATACATACATTGAAAAACAAACTATTAATATAAGTTAGAATTGCTGCAAAAAAACCCCCATACCACTAGCGCTCTGGATTTATAAGAAATAATTAATAACTTTCATAATTAGTAATAATAAAATATATAATAAAATAATACTAAAATTGATATTATTTTCCTTTGTTTTTCAACAGGATTTTGGGCATCAACTGTTTCATTTTCTAAAAATATGAAAATCTTCGGCCCATATTTCTTTCTTTTGTTCACCAAATGGTCCTTATATTTGGCATCAGTGACTGGGGACAAGATTTTCCAGTTTGGACCTTGCAGTATTTCAATGAATATTAATGAAATTCGTAATAGCTTTGCTATTGTCAAAACCTTTATTGTAAGTATTGTTGTCTGCTTCCAGAACACTTTCTGGAAAACAAGTGGAAAAGAAGCTTAGAAACTTACAAAAAGTTTCTTGCAAGACTTGTTTGTGTTCAGTAGCCTTCTTTGAATAAAAACAGTAAGAACAACAATAGCAATTTCTTGTAGGCAGGATTATGAAAGTATTTCTTAAAAGATGCATGCAATTGGACAAATAGCTTTAAATAGGTGAATCTCTCAAGGTAAAAAATAAATAGAAGTCTCATTAAACCATTTACATAGGATAAAAGTAAAGATTTCCCATGTCCAGTCGTGTCCGACACTAGGGAACGGTGCTCCTTTCCGCTTCTTAGCCAAGGGTGACAATCCTGTGCAAAGACATTTCTATGACCATGAGGCCAGCATGACTATATGTCGAGGTGCAGTGAATGCTGTTACCTTCCCATGAAGTGGTACCTGTTTATCTACTCATATTTGCTTGCTTTTGAACTGCTAGGTGGGCAGTAGTTGAGGCAAGTAATGGGAAGTCACCCCGTTGTGCGGTGCTCAGGTCATGAATCTGGGCTGTCAGCTTTCCAGTCGACAAGCCCAGTGTCTTACTCACTGAGCCATCACATCCCCTTACATAAGATAGAAATCCTCTTTTAGATATGCAGATGCAAAGAAAAGGACATTGGATCCAAATTCACTTGAATGTCTTTGTGTTGGGTGCATGTTTGCTTGTATCCAATACAAGAGGTATATTTTGTTTCAGTTCTCTTTTGGCAACAAATTCAAACATGCAAACTTTAAGAAACTTAATTTTTTCCAAAATTTGTAGTTTACCAATGTAATTAAAATGGTTTTATTCTCCAGATACCATGGTAATTTTGTAAATGCTGCCTATTTATCTGTAATGATTTCAGCAGCTAATATTATATATTCAGAATTAATGTTATCTGTTTCCTATTTAGCAAGGCAGAGATCCCATCAGAACCACAAGTATTTTGTTGCAGCCATATTCTTTGCATGATTTTCAAGTAAGTCCTAATCTTTGTAAGTTTGGGTTGCATTTTTCTTTATAGTAAGATATTACTTTCAATTAAATCAGCAGATTTTTGAATTAAGTAAATGTCAGTGCTTATGAAGTATCTTTTTGTGCTGAGACCTACATAGATGATCATATTCCAATTGTATATTATGTATGCCATTGTTTATTTTATTATTTATTTCATTGGCTATTGTGCTGCAAAATACAATCCAACTAGTGGATAATTCTAGGAATAGATTTAAAACAGGGATGCCTAAGGTTTAGATGTTTGCTTAGCCCTGTGATCATTGCCTGCTAGCTTAATCTCACAAAATTACTGTCACAAGTGATATGGAAGAAGAGTGATATAACATATGTGTCAAAGCATGATTGTGCATGTATCTATATATAAAAACCATATTATACATTGACCATACTACCTAAAATAATAGCATTTATCAATAACTAGAGAGCAGAATCACCATGCTGCAGTTTGCTCAGCCTTTTTCTACTCTGGTAACAATTGAATTACTTTTCCATGAAAATGTTGGGTAGGGAATGTACTGTCTGTAGAGGAGAATTGCCACACATGGCAAGTTCTAGCCTATTGTAGTACTTGAAGAAACATTCCAAAGCTTTCCTTTGTTGGCTGCCAAGTTGTATTTAAATGGTCACCTGGAGAGGAAAAATACATGTTGTACATTTCTTTTGCTTTATTTGCTATACTCCTATTTTCATCTCTAATCTTTTTGATTTATGTAAACATTAGTAGAGTCATAAGCAATCACAATATGCTGGGGCTGTTTTAAAATACTTATAAGTTAGCAGATATTGTTTTTATCAGATGGAAAGGAAAATAAAAATTTCCTTTAATAAGGAAATCAAGTTCAGAGGTCCTTAAATTTCCTGGATTCAGTGGTTGGGGAAATACAGTATGTGTGCCAATTAAAATATTGGACTATATCCTGAGTCAGCAAGATTCAAACCTATTTCTGGGCCATGGAAACACATTGGGCCAGGTGCCCTCAGTTTCTGCCTTCATTGGTATTATTGAGAAATAGAATTACTCATACACCATGTGTGTTGCTTTGAGTTTGTGGTTGTAAATCTAACAAATGAATAAATAGGTCAAAACACTGTGAGAAATTCTGAGCATTTTTCCCTTCATAATTTTACCCTGCCTAGTGTACTTGCCCATCAATTTTACTTCAATGGACATTTCTTTACAATCAGTCAGTTTCTTCTTATGTGGGAACTCACAGGATTATTTGATAGCATGCAAGTATAATAGATTATGATTATTTATAGCATGCAATTCCATACATATCTACCTCTAAGGAAATCTCATGGAGAATTACTCTGAGGTAATTCTAGAGACAGAACTGCAACTTTAAATCCAAAGAGCTTGAGTAGCTTTATTACAATTTTGCTTCATGAAAGATCAGATTTTGCATGGGGACAAAAAGTTCTACAGGGCAATCAAAGATTCATCACTTCTGTCCTTTCAACACTATCCTCAAATTCACAAAATGGCTAACCAAATAATTTAAAGGTATAAATACTGCCAAGATCTTCTACAGGAAAATGACCACAGAAGTATGATTTAATGAATGTTAACTACAAAATAACATGCTGCTGGAGGCAGTGTTTTTGAAAAGGGCTTGAAATGAGATCTGAACTGCTTCCAAATACTTTTCATAAAAGATGAACAGTCTAATTAATTAATTACTCATACTGGTCTGATTTAATCTACAAGATTCTAGATTACAGTGTAACTTTCTGTTACAGTGACTCAATAAATCCAAACTTCTTTTCTCAAGTCTGTAGACAGATGCTGTCTTATTCACCTCATCTTAAGATTTTATCTGGACAAAGTCTTCAGGCACTGTGAAACAGAAAGCCTTCTAATCAATCGGAAAGTCAGTGGTATAGCCAACTCCTTCCTCAGCACTGAGAAGAAATTCAGACAATGCGTAAGTTACTCGAAAATAAAATAATAGATCTGAATACAATATTCATTGTATGGAGAGCTGCAGCTTCCAGCCATGTTTGACCATTTAGCTGAATAGAAGCTGAAGTATAACATTGTCAGATGGGCAGATTGCCCATCTCTAAATAAGTCTTTTCCATTCAAGGAGAGACTGAAAAGGTCGATTTTATTTGGGTTAAAGAATGCATATATTTTTGAACTTTATTATGAGAATCTGTATGTAAAATTGAAAAGTAGAACCTGAGCAATAAGAATCAGCAGCCTAGTAAATATTTCTAATCCCAAAGAATCAGCAGTCCCAGTGCTATATGTGGAACTAAATTTGCACTGTGGTTTGGCAGTATCAAGACTGAACATGAATTGAACATAATAAATCATATTTGAAATGATTTTTCCTTATGGGAATATTATATTTGAAGTTCCACTTTTGCCAAGTAGGCCATTCTACTTTTTTATATTCTGCATTTCATTTTCTAACTTTTTTTCTGAATGACATTTGACATTCAGTTCTGCTGATAGTTGTTTGTTCTTTGAACTGATTGCTTCCAGCGATTTTTACTTTTATAAATATTTGTTGCAATGTTGTCTGTTTCTCTAAAGTATGCTAATACTTTAGTTGCACTAGTTTGGCTTCCTTTTTTGTTAGCACTCATCATCCAAGTCTACTGGATGAGGGAGTGATATGTTCACTATAATATAGCCTGAGGGCATTCACTACTACTACAGTCATATCAGGAATGCTTCTGGGTGGAAATGATTGAATGATGACATCACTGTTGCCTGGGGGACAGTTGGGGGCTCCTTTCACATCCCCGTTAAGTTGCCCACCAAAGTGGTACCCATTTATCTACTCACAGTTGCCCACTTTCAAACTGCTGAGTATGGCATTCACTGAAAGAAAGGAACACATACAAAATCTCTAATGAATGTTAAAATATTTTTCTAGTATGATCAAAATACGTGCCATTGTGGGGAAGATGCAATAATTAAGTATCAACAGATCATCATCAACTATGAGCAGGTAATTAGAGATATGAAACTAAAAAAGTCCTATAGAAATTATTACTTACAATGAATTAACAATAACAAATAATAATAAAGACTTTAATAGTTTTTGGGGCTTACTATCCCATCCCAAGTTGCTTTTTCTGTTACCAAATGTTCATTTTAATCAATTTTCAGATGGATGTTGCATCAGCTGCAATGAAGTCCCTTGGAGAACTCGACATCCTGCTTGACTGGTTAGAAGCATATTAGAATCCGGCTGAGATCTATGTTAAAAAGGGTTAAATTTAATTGTTTATTAAAGTCAACATCAAAGGAAGAAAACTTGCATACCATGCATCCTACTGGGAGACAAAATGTCTATGCCCTTATTAGGCTGTAACTAATATACATTGCCATACACCAGTAAATCCCATTCCTTCCACATACACACACAGACCTCTGGATCTATACAAACTTGAAGGAATTCAGCAGGTATCTGCATCAGGAAATCCCAGATTCTATAGAGCAGCTGCAGTATCTTCCTGTTGTCTCAGCAATATGAAGCTTGCCATGGAAAGTCCCTTTGCTCCAGTGAGAAGCCCTGCTTATGCAAACATTTTGTTCTAGCAAATCACAAAATTAGTGAACTTGACAATAAATGATATAACCTCCTATGGGACTGATGTGCCCCACTTGCACCAGCAGAAGTGTAATGTCTGTTAAGGAATTTCAGCAGGTGGGGTCAAGGAGAAGAGCCTTTTCCACTTTACCATGGGAACTGAAAACCGCTACCACCTTTTTGGCCTTCTGGGAGGGTAAAATTAGGTTTTATTGGTTGGCTTGACCTCATCCTTGTAGTGTTCATCTCTTGGTATCTGGTTTTTTTTACATAGTTTTAAACATTTAATTTGCATAGATTTAAATTTTTAAAAAGCCACTCAGAGTCACCTTATTGAGGAGATGGGTGGTATATACATTTAATAAATAATGATAAAAGTATTCCAGATATAGATTAAGGTTCTTGTTTTGATTTAAGGGCTAGTGTAATAATTACAATTGTCTTAAAATATTTCTGCCCTTGAATGCATTCTACTCATTTCATTGTGGTGAGAAGTTTACATGCATTGTTAACCATAATGAGAACTTTTAAAATTTAATTTAAAGTATTTAGTTTTTTTAAATTTAACATTGTTTCAGGCTGTTCATTTCGTTTTGCTATTCCAGTTCTTCAAAAGATACCAAATCATGAAAAACATAGTTTTGTATTTCAGTTATTTTGATAAAAATGCACAAACTTCCTAAGACATCTTTGTAGCAGTGATTGTGGTCCATGTTTGGATATGAGCAAATTTTGTAAATATGGTAAAACTGCTTTGTTAAATGAAGAGGAGAGGGGCTGTGACCAAGAAGAGGACCATTACAGGGCATTAGTTTAATCATAAGAAGGTATCTTAGAAAATATAGTAGAAGTTTGTTAATATATTTTTTTTACATGAAGATACTTGGACATATTAATAGGAATGTTCTTATAACTACGAAGAACATTAGCCATTCCACATATAATATGTTAAAAAATTAGTAGGCTAGGACATGACTATAGAAATGAGATAAACAGATGAACTGATTGGAGGGACTTAAATATAAACTTTACTTATATTGCTATTACATATAAGTAAAATAATTTTATATTGTATTTTATATTATAATTTTATACATTATAATACTATTATATTACTTATATACCATGAAACTCTAATATTAAAGAAATTGCCTTGGTTTCATAGTAAAAGGGGCAGCTGTTTGTTTTATTTCTCTATAAGCAGATTTTTGGGAGTGCTGATCATTGTGCTAATTTGCAGCTGTATTCACTCAGTCTTTGCTCAGAATGCAATTTGTACTCAAAATGCAATAAAATTACAGTTTAGCAAACCAGGGTTGGAAAGATTTATTACACTGTTTCTGAGCAGGATTGGGATTAGACTTTAGATATTCCCACAATATCTATTTGTGGGATAGATATGGATGATTCCCAATGTAGAGTTTTAACTGAGGAATTTGGAATTATTTAAGAATAGGTGACAGTGCTCAGTAATTTATTTTATCATGTTAATTGAAAATACTTATTAGATGAGGATTCAGTTTGAGCTTACTGAGGATGGCTACATACCCTAAAGAGAAAGGCAAAAGAACCTGTTAAAGAAAAATGATCATTGTTTAGATCTGAGCTGCATTAAAATCTTCACAGCGAATAGCAAGATTATATGGTAATTATCTGACATGATAACATGTCAATGATTGTTACTTCTCTGCTGTTCCAGAAAGTTATTTCTTCTTCCATATTTGAAATGGCAAAACTTTTAATACCTATATCTACACTACCCTGGATCAACTTTCAGCACTCTATCAGAAGGGCATTTATTTTGATGCAGTGTGACACCCCACCCTCTCTAGGGACATTAGGTAGAAATAACAATGTTTTTTTTACCAAGACATCTTTGTATGCACTCAGACACCAAAGATATGTTTATAATACATATAGTACATTATGAAGCTATCTTCTATACCATTGCCTGAAAAACTTTAGGATTAAGTCAAATTGAAGCAGGCAATCCCTTTTCTCAGTTGTTATAAGCAAGGGCTACATCACTCTACAAAGTAGTTTTGGAAGGTGCTTTGTTTGATCCTATCTTGAAGCAAAATGTCCCTTCCAAGCTTCATGCATTCATAATATAAGCACACAGCCAAATGCATTTGATAATATAAGCCTACAACCAAATGCATTTGATATTTTCAGTTTTAATTCAGCGAAACAGTATTTATTATTGCCTGTATCTAGAAAGAGTACCTTTGGTGTGTATGATTCTGTGTAAAAATTCTTTTATAGGCATGAACCAGTCAAACTATGCCTTTTCTAACTATACTGAGAAATAATAAAAGTATTTATCTAAAATAAATTCTGCTAGACTGAAGTTGTTTCTTTCTCTTTCTTTCTATAAAATTTTATAAAATCTTCATAATGAAAACAAGTGCATTTCTTCATTTCACTTTATATTGTTCTATGCTGTGAACACTGCATGTCTTGAGAAATTTTAAATACAATGTAGAATTCTGTAAGTGGATTTATCCTAGTTAAGTGACTTATAACATTATACCTAGCTATCAGGTAGAACAAAGCTAAGACCAAATGCTCAAATAAAATAAATACACTTACTCCCTCTTTTCGAGTAATGCACATCAAATCTATATTTAAAAAACAAAACAAATCCAATTCCCCAAAGGGTAATATCTTTCTCATGAGTTAGACTTCTCTCATTTAAATGTAACCGGATCGCTATAGTAAAGCATAAGATATCATAACATCAAAAAATAGCTTTAATTTGGTACAAGTTAAGCTGTACCAAGCTGTTTTTTTACCAAGACATCTTTGTACGCAAGACATCTTTGGTACAGTTAAGCTACTTTGCAGAATCTTTTGAATGTAAAAGGAAGCTTGAATTATGTTAAATAAATAAGTCATCATTAATAATGAATATTAAGAGACCAAATGCTAAAAGCCGCCTGTCAAATACACCTGCTTCTAAATTGTTGTGTAGTTGAGGTATTGAGGATGTATTTGATCATGTTCCAAGATCTTAGAACTGCACTTCCATTCATCACAAAGATGTTTCATTCTGTCCCTATCAGGTAGGTCAATTATTGAATATACTCTATTATTTAGAAAATCCACAGATAACAGTCAAACTTCCATGGTATGCAAATTTCTAGTCATTGTTTCTAGCATTGCTGAATGAGAATCCCTCTTGATAGGGAAAGGGGCGTTGTCTTACCTGAACGCCTTTTCTCAGCATGATGATGGAGAATCCATGGATGGGTTGTCTTAATCTATCTGCTCCAGTTAGACTAAGTCTGAAATTTAGTACCGCCCCCTCTGTGCCAACTGCACCCCAGTTTTAGGCTAAGGCGATACTCAGACTTTAGTCCGACGCGTCTGATCAATATGGGAACCAGGCCAACTGACCTAATGGGAGGGAGTGGATTCTCCATCATCATGCTGAGAAAAGGCGTTCAGGTAAGACAACGCCCCTTTCTCCAGCATGATTGGATGGAGAACCCACAGATGGGACATACCAAAGCCCTGTGTCCCTAGGGTGGGGAATTAGATTGGGCCTGGGTCCCATCCAACGTTAATGTGTGTTCTAGAAACTTGCGGTCAAATGAAGCCGTAGAAGAGGCATATATATATCCATCTTGTAGTGACGGACAAGGGAAGAGGGCGATGCCCATGTTGTTGTTCTACAAATTCCCTCTATGGAGGCCTAATTAGACCAGGCAGCTGTAGCAGCTGCGCCCGGGTGGAGTGGGCCGTGAAATGCCTAGGAGCTTGCAGTGACTGAGACTGGTATGCCAGAGAAATACAAACTCTAATCCACCTGCGTATTGTGGTTGAAGAAACCTTCTGACCTAGTGATGAAGGGTGATAGGACACAAACAGAGCCTCTGTTCTGTGTAAAGATGAGGTTCTCTGTATATAACAATATAAGCCCTGCGCACATCCGATTTGTTCCCCTGAACCTCTATGTCATTAGATGGGTTAGGACAGAAGTCCGGCAAAACTATTTCCTGAGATCTATGATACAAGGACTTGACCTTAGGCATGAAGGAGGGGCCTAGCCTAAGGGTTACCCTGTCCTTATGGAAAGTACACAGGTCCTTCCTCACTGAAGAGCAGCCAGTTCAGAGATCCTTCTAGCTGAAGTTACAGCAACAAGAAATGCCACCTTCATTGATAACTGTTTGAACAAACCAGTGTCAATAGTTCAAAGGGTGCGAAACAAGAGCCTATAAACCTGATGAAGATCCCACGAGGGGTATCTTTGTACAGTTGATGGTCTGACGTTGTTAGCTCCTTTTAAGAAGGAGCGTATCATAGGGTGATGTGTTAAGGATTCATTGCCGCAGGAAATAACTGTGGCAAGTGATGCTACCTGCCTGCGGATGGTGCTTGTGGAAAGCCCTTTGTCTAGACCATCCCTCAGGAACTCCAAGATAACTGGCATTGAAACCGCCAAAAGGTCAATTTTTCGAACTAAACACCAATTACAGGAGCCTCTCCACGTGGCATCGTATATTCTATTTGTCGAGGGTCGCCTGGATTGCTGAATCATAGCTATGACCTTCAATGAATATGAGTCTTGGCCTAAGGCCTGCCTCTCAAGTGCCAGACAGTTAACTGGAGCCATTGAGGGTCTGGATGGCGTAGTTCCCCCTGAATGTGGGAGATGCGATTTGCTGGGATCCTCCATGGAGGGGATGCGGAGAGCTCCATCAGGTCGGCGACCAAGAGCGTCTCGGCCAATGCGGCACAACCAGGAGGACCTCTGCTCATTCGCGAAGGATCTTCCTGATCGTAGCAGGGGAGGGAAGGCATAGAGCAGTTCTCTGGGCCAGGGACTGCGGAGTGCATCTGTTCCCTCCGCTGATGGAGATGGGAACCTGGAAAGGAACCTGGGAAGTTGTGAGTTGATTGGGGAGGCAAAAAGGTCTAAGGTTGGGGAACCAAACCTGTCCACGATCTCTCTGAACACCTTCGGATCCAGCTGCCATTCGGAATGGTCAACGGTTGCTCTGCTCAGCGAGTCTTCCTGCTGGTTGGTCACTCCGGATATGTGCTCTGCCTTGATGGAGGCAAGATTCAGTTCCGCCCAGGACCCCAGCAATTTGGCCTCCTGCATGAGAGGCCTGGACCTTGTCCCCCCTTGTCTGTTGACGTGGGCCTTGGCTGTAATGTTGTCGGTTAAAATGAGGACATGTTGGCCCTGTACTATATCGGTGAATCTCTTTAGGGCCATATGTATGGCTCTGAGTTCCAGCCAGTTTATATTGTTCTTTAGGTCCTGTTTGGACCACCGACCTTGAGCCCAGTGCGTGTGGAGGTGTGCCCCCCACCCAAACAGGCTTGCATCTGTGGTAATGGTAATCCTGTCTGGTTCTAATACTGCTCCCCATGACAGTGCCGGGGAGTCCCACCATTGAAGGGAGTTCAACACCGACGTGGAACTTGGACCTTCTGGTGGGATGTGCTGGTGTGAAGTCTCTGAAATGGAAGGAGAAGCCATGTAATTCTCTGGCATGGAGGTGTGCCCATGGCACAATTTGCATGCAGAACACCGTCTTCCCCAGTAGCTGTGATAGGGAGGTCAATGTGACTACTCTGTCCCTTCGGATCCGACGTACAAGAGTCTGAATAGAGTTCCTTCGGTCCTGAGATAGGTAGACCGTACAATTGTCTGTGTCTATAACAGCGCCCAAATGGAGGAGCCGGGTTGTTGTATGACTTTTCTGGAAATTAACAGAAAACCCGTGCTCCTGAAAGACCTTGATGGCTAGGGCGAGGTCTGACTGAGCGTTTCGGAATGATGATAACTGAATTAGTATGTCATCTAAATAGCATTATATTCTGATTGGAATTTGTCTAAGGTGGGCTGCGAGCACTGCCAGTACCTTGTAAATACCCTCGGTGTCGATGAGAGGCCAAATGGTAGGGCTCTGTACTGGTAGTGGCGTTGGGCATAGCTGAATCTGAGGAATTTGCGGTGGTTAGGAAAATGTCTCAGTTAGGTCTATTGAGGTAAGAAAGTCACCTTGCCTGATGCTGGCCAGGATTGATTGAAGTGGTTGCATCTTAAACTTCTTATACCTCAAGTAAGGTTTAGACCTTTCAAGTCTAAGATTGCCCTCCAGCCCCCCCAAGTCTTAGGATGATGAAGAGGTTTGAGTAAAACTGGTCTTGTGTACTGGTTCAATTGCTCGTATTTGTAATAAATGAGCTATGGCCTTTGACATAAAGTCAGCCCTGGACCTGCTCGTTGGGATAGGGCAAGAGCGGAATTTGTCAGGTGGTTGAGAACAAAATTCTAGTCTCAGACCTTGCGTGACGGTGTCTAACACCCATGCATCTGTAGTGATGGCTGTCCAAGTGCTGGAATAAGGGGCCAGCCGGCATCTGTAGTGGCGACTGCCCAAGTGCTGGAATAAGGGGCCAGCCGGCTTCTTATGGGAAGTGAGACTGTGAGATCACTTGCCTCGTTTAGAGGAACGGCCCCCCAGGCCTCGAAGGGGCCGCTTGGCCTGGATCTGTGGTCTGCTTCTGCATGCTGAACTATCCGCCTGGGCCCAGTCCCAGGATGGAGCTGGTCGAAAGGCAGCCTCCTGTAACTGCTCTGTGACATGACTTAACCAGAGCTTTATGTTTGTCCTTACCTTCAGTTAAGTATGGTTCTAGTGCCTTACCAAAGAGATGTCCACCTGTGTAAGGTTTCAAGGCCAGACGCCACTTGGTCTTGGTGTCTGCTCGCCAATTTCTGAGCCAAAGGAGCCTTTGTGCGGAGATGTCTGCCGCGATGGTCCGGGCCGTGTATCTGGCCGTGTGCAGGGAAGTGTCGGCTAGGTATTGAGATGTGACCACTAACTTACCCAGATTCTGGTGAGCTCTGAGCTGGTCCGGAGGGATCCTGTCCTGGAGCTCACGTAACCCAAGGGCTGAAGCCCTGGCGAAGAAGGCCATGGATGTTGCCGCCTTTGTTGCCCAGGCTGATGCCAGATGGGAACTACACAATGCGGAGTCAATCTTTTTATCCTCCGCTCTAAGTGCCTCATTTATATCCCCAGGAATGTTAGCATTGGGAAACAATGAGTTCAATGGCTCATCAATCTCAGGGACCTCCAATAGGGAGGTCAGAGAAGGGGCAACATTGAATAATGTCTTCTCTATGGCATCAGGGCTTGAGAGGGATCCTAACTTCTCCCATTGCTTTTGAACCCTATTGAGAAAAGGGGGCAGGGGATATGGTTCTGAGAGACTGAGGGCTCGTATATATAACATGGGGACCCTTGGATGTTGTAGGTGGGCCTCCTGCTCTTGAGGGAGATTTGCAGTTGTGCAGGCCTTGATTAGCAGGGAAATAAAAGTGAATGGTCAAAGAGACCGACAGGAGGGGTGGGGTCAGATGAAGTGATACTTTCATCCTCTGACATAATCAGGCCCGATGGTTCAGCCCCTGTTGATTCTAGATCTGATGAAGGTTCATCCATGATATCTGGAGATTGGAATGATACATGGACTGTAGGGGTGGCTGTTGGGCGTGGGAAGCCATGAATTGAGCCACAGCCTGAGCTATCATGGACTGAAGGTAGTCCAGGATTAGAGTCTGGTTCTCAGGGGGATGAAGCCCTGCTGCAGTGGGGGTGAATGTGGTCTGGGGGCCCACATTAAGGGTGTCCTGGCTAATCAAGCCTGTCCCTGGGCCCGCCCTTGTGGCTGATTCTAGTTGGGAAATTCCCCTGGGGGGAGACCAGGCCCCTGGGGCTGAGGCACAATGTGAGGAAGGGGTTCAGAAATGGGCCTGTTGTGCCTGTCTGACCTGGGGAGGCCGCTCTCAGTCTTTGGGACTCCTCCTCCCTCATCTGTGGTATATTGGACTCCCTGCTTGGCCGGGCTCGCTTGGTGGTGCTCTTTCCACTTGCCTCTGTTTGATGTTTCCTCTTGGCCGGCTCGCTGGTGGTTTTCTCCACCATGATGAGTCTGCTCTGGGCTCAACCTTAGCAAAAACGCCCCCCCCTCGGCGTTGTAAACTTGCCAAGGGAGCCGCAGAGATGATTCGGCCCATGGGGGGGCAATGGGGATTGGTGGGCACTGCGTCCCTCAGGAGCGAGCTGGCCCTCCCCAGTCCAATCCGTCTGTGGAGATGATGTAGTTGAATCTCGAGGCCTCTGCCTCAGGTGGTCATACACTGCCCTCAGGATTGAGTTACAGGCAGTCTGGGCCTCAGTCACATACAAAATGGCCGCCGTGAGTCAATTCAAAATGGCGGCTGCAGAGATCGCACCCAAAAAACGGCCGTTAGAAGAAGGCCTTGAGGCCTGAGACCTAAGTTGCGATGAGCCCTCGTTCCAAGGAATCGCTTGGGCTCCTAACGCAGCGAATGGATTCCAAAAAAAAAAGGCCATTAGAAGAAGAAGGCCTTGAGGCCTGTGGCCTAAGCTGCGATGAGCCCTCGTTCCGAGGAATCGCTTGGGCTCCTAATGCAGCGAATGGATTACAATTAGGTGAGCTGAGAGAGGCTGAGGCAGGCCGAGGCCTAGTAAGGCCTCCAGGCTCCGAAAATTGGATCGGTGCCAAAAACTTTCTCCTGCTGCTGGGGCGGTCTGCTGAGGCCGAGGGATCTAGAAAAGTCTCCCTCCAGGCCTGACGAGCCTCGTCGTCGCTTGCGGAGCCCCCCAGTCAATTGGCAAGCTTACCCCTGCTTCTAAGGCCTCCAGGCTCTGGTTAGAAGAATGGAGCCTCTGATGCAGAGGAACGGCCCCTGGTAGGAGATTTCTCTTGCTTCTGGGAATCCAATTTTCAAGCTGATTGTGAAGCTGAAAGGCTCTCAAAGGGAGAAAGGGAAAGTTTCCCCCCCCAAAGGGAGGTTTGTCAGCCTGTCAGCCTGCTAGGCTACAGGTTGGGATGATCACTGGAAAAAAAAATTCTCTCTCTTTTTTTTTAAATTATCAAATCTATTAATAAAAATGGTTAGCACTAAGCTAAAGGGAATAAAATAAAATAGGAATACACAGTCTTCTGCTCCAGGAGCGAAGAAAAAACGCGTCTTAGAGCAAAGAGACTAAGTCTAAAACTGGGGTGCAGTTGGCACAGAGGGGGCGGTACTAAATTTCAGACTTAGTCTAATTGGAGCAGATAGATTAAGACAACCCATCCGTGGGTTCTCCATCCAATCATGCTGGAGAACAGGAAAACGTCACCTTTTTAAGCACTTGCATGGATGGCTAAATGCTATTTCTACAGTAATCCTCTTCCATATTGCTACTTTCTAATTGAGATGGGACTAGGACATCATTCTGCAGACTCCTTCCATTCATCACAATATGCTAAACATTTAATATTGGGTTGTCTGCATTTTCACAGAAGTGTGTATGCTTCAACAATTATTATTCAGTCTGACAATAAGACAGATTCCTTTTAAATGATAAAACTGATGCCATGATGCCTTTAAATATATTTTTGTCATTTTTATTATATATCACGCCTCAGTTTTCTCCTTTTATAAATTTTATGGGGGAAAACTGATTCCACCATGGGAAAGGAGAGGTGATGTCACAGTATGATTACACAAATGATGAAAAAATTCAATCTGCATCATGTGTATGATCATATCAAAGATTATCATGATATCTACTAAATGCCTACAAATTTGAAATTTGTTGTGTCCTTCACAAAGATTTATTAATTCCTGTTTGGATAGTTCCCATGACATTTTAGATCAGGGGTGTCAAACTGCTGGCCCACAGGCTGGATGCATCATGTGGAAGCTGCACCCACCCCATTGCTGGCAATGGCAAAACCATCCCGATATGTTGCATGATGTCATGTGATGTCGTGAGTTTGACATGTCTGGAATAGATCAACATGTTCTCTAAAGCACCCAAAGGCAGGATAAGAAGCAATGGATGGAAACTAATCAAAGAGACAAACACTCTAGAACAGACATGTCAAACTTGCAACATCACATGACGTCGCACAACATATTGGGACTGTTTTGCCATTGCTGGCAATGGGAGGGGGTGGCTTCTGCATGATGCGTCCGGCCCCTGGGTCAGCAGTTTGACACCCCTGGTCTAGAACTAAGGAGAAATTTCCTGACAGTGGGAACAATGAACCAGTGGAACAACTTGCCTCGAGATCTTTTTCAACTGTTATTCTCAGTCTATTACCATAAATTACTTTTCTTTCCCCTACAAGGGTCAGGGATTTTGCATCAAATTTGTGACTAGCAGTGCAATTGTTAGAGCTAAATGCCTCTGCTAGTAGAATACTGAGATATTAGCACTATGATTGTACTGGGATGCAGAATAAGAATGAGGACTTTGCTGGGATTTGGATCTGAGGAAAAATGTTACATAATTCTGGTCATCCAAGAAGCAATAATTTCACTTCAGAGTATTTATATATCATACCTGAGGAAAATACCTTTCAAATATTGATATCCAAAATCCTTGATTTGATTACCATTGTAGTTAAATTAATACAGGGGCTGTTTAAAGGTTACCAAAGAGGTAAAAAAAACCCTCTTTCTTGGAAACTATTCTTGTTTCCGAAGACTACAGAAGAAAAGATTCTTTATTTTTTATTATTTAATTTTTTGTATTACTTTACAAATAATTTGATACAATGAACACATCCAACACAACTTTCTCGTCCTATTTTCCCCACAACAACAAGCTGGTAAGGTGAGAAAGTGACTGGCCCAAAGTCACCCATCTACCTCTCAATGTCTAAGACAAGACATGAACTCACAGACTTCTGCTTTCTAGGCTGATGTCTTAATCACTATCAAGAACATGTGAATGAATAGGAATAGCTTCCAGATTAGCTCGATTTCACATATGCATTCAAATTAAACACTGTCAACCAGTTGAAGGGATTGCCAACATTTCCAGTAGCAAAATTACTAAGTGAAAACACATTTATCGTCTGAAACTGATTTAGGACTTCTTCATATATTTGATTGGCTTCATTCCTGCAAAGACATGTTTTGACAGTATCCTGGAGAGAAATAATGCATTAAGTAAATGATATTCAGAAATATTTTTTTAAGTTCCCATGAGAAGTTATATAATGCTCAAATGAAATCACAAAGCAAATGTTATTAGCAGCTTTGGTTGGAGTATTTAGCTTCTAATTGCATAAATACCAATGAGGCATGGCAACACCTATTCAATTAAGCAAGAAAAAGCAGGAATGGAGAAGTAAACTAATATTTATTATAACTTGTGTCCTGTAATTTATTATTATTATCTCATTAAATTATTACAGACTGCTGCACCTAGCTTATTAAAAAAAGCTATCCCATTCAGAAAGAGAATGATGATAAAATGGTAATGAGAACAAATATTACTAGCCAATGTATCGACCAGGGACAGCATTATATTACAGTTTTATATTACATGTTAGCATTCTAGTTTATTGAGTATTGTATTTATTTATTTATTTACTTCTTTATTTATTTATGTACTGCCCACTTCATTTAAAAGCAACTCTGGGTGCTTGCAAACATTAAAATCAGCAAACATTAAAAGGAATAAATTAATGACTAACAATACTAGTAACAATTTCAAAACAATTAGAGTACCATTTGAACACTATTGACAGTGACAAAATCACTGTCAATTGCAAAAGGCAGCTTTGCTCAGAACAGCCTACATCCTGTGATGATAACTTTAAGATCATAAACATCCAGATTTGTCTATCTCAGGTCTTTTGGAAGGACTCGATAGGTGGACAAAAATGCCAAATCCGACCTGAACATCTGGCTGATTGTGCAATGGATCATAATATATCATTAAAAGATAGGGATGAGGATAGAGAGCATCTTCTCCTAATTTGAAAGCCACCTCCAGAGTGATATCCTCCCATTGGGGTCCCAGCTAATTGGCAGAGCCAAAACTTCAAAAGGTATGATGTTTTAAAGGGCAGGAGCCACAGCACAAAAGGCTCTTTTCCTAGACTCCAGGAGCTGGAATTCCTTGATTGAAGGGGTCCATAGCATGTCTGCACCACCACATTCTGCACCAGCTCTTCAAGGGCCCCATGTAGAATGCATTGCAGTAGTCCAGGCATGAGATGACCAGTGCTCGAGTGACTGAGTGCAGGGACTCCTGATCTAGGAGAGAGTAACCAAATTATAGCTCCAATATCAAGAGTACAAAAATCTGGATGATCACTAGAGAACATTTTTGAAGATCTGATAGTTTCATTCAAACTGATAGTACACTAGGCTGGTTAAAGATGTTGGGCATACAAGTGTTGTCCCTTCGTAGTAAGCCTGAACAAGACTTGAAGAGATCACTGAAACTCTATTATCATCAGAATCTTGGAAGTAACCAATTTTTTCCTCTTAAACTAAAGAGAATTAAGTCAGAGTAAGTCAGTTTCTTTCTCACGCTCTTTTTCTACCCAGGGCTAAGAAGATATTTGCTTAATCGTTTTTGCATTCCTTCTTCGAGATTAGTTCCATATTCTTCTACACCATTTCCCCCATCAGAATCAGTCTCCTCTCCCTCACGCAAAAAGGCACTGGCAAGTTGCTTTGGAAATCAACCACAGACCACAACTACAATGAACTTCCTCCACCCTTGTTTGGAAGCTCTCCAAGATCACTAGACAAGTCTTGCCATGCAGAGTCAGATGGAGCTGGAAAATCTCTCCTCCCTTCTTGTATCACAGCAACCTGTCCTGGAGAGTCTATTGTGATCAGAAGCATAGAGTCTTCTTTAGCTTGGACTTTAGCTGCTATTGATAGCAGTGACAGGAATGGCAAATCACAAGCAATGGACTTGAAGTACATGTTTTATTTTTTCCCTCTACTTAAAATCCTTGGTCATCTCTAATCTCTAGTTTCTAAAATCATCACATGTTTTGTTATAATTGCCAGGCAATTGCCAGGATAATATTTTCCCTGAGAAGTTGTTTATTTTTTATAGATTGTTCCAAAATTTTATTGTAAAAATCAATATTCCAAATTTATCTGGACTCTTTATCCTTAAATCAACTTCTTAGACCAAAACTTTATTTAGCTTTTTGTTTGTCAATGGAGATTCTCAGTCATCCAGGTTATGGTTGTCTCAAAGGTGCTTTTTTTCCCCCAAAGGCAACTGGACTTTTGTTTTTCCTTGAAGACGTTTTGCTTTTTATCCAAGAAGCTTCTTCAATTCTGCTGAATTGTGGAGAATGGAAGGATTTCTATTCCTTGCAGTCACCTGTTTGTTAACACTTTTTCAGACAATTGTTGAGGCCACTTGAGGTTTATCTATGTCCTCAGGGTCACCTGAATAGTGCAAATGTATGTGGAATCTTCTTGGAACTGCTAAAACACAATCCTTTCCCCAGCCAACCAGTTTCCTATGGGTGGTCCATAACTGAGCACAGACAGCTTTGATGTTTGTTTGCCAGCTAGTAATCATGTACCTTTTCCTGCTCCTACAACAACAAGAGGACATCCCTGTCTCCCTTCATAAGATATAAGAGGGAAAGATATTGATGTTTCTGGTATTTCTGTTCCTGCTAAAATGACTAATATCCCTTGCTATATTGGGCTTCTTTACCTCATCAACCTAGCATGTGGCTATGGCGGTGTTGAAGGAAAAGTCTTCATCAAGGTTCAGTCCAAGCTGGGAATAAACAACATGGTGACTGCTTTAGAAAGAAGGTTGCAGTTTATTGAAGAGGAGAGCCAGACAGGAAGATGGGTCTGGAAGAAAAGAGAGAGAGAGCACATGTAGGGAGTGGGTTTTATACCCTCTGGGGCTCTTGAGGTTGTCTCCTGTTCCTGTCTGAGGCTTTGTATTTCCTGTGTCATGTACTTTGACCTGAGTCTGAGTGTGTCCATTTGGCATCTGTGGATTAATCCTATTATGTCCTGTCTTAGAGTTTGGGTGGGGTATGTAGATTTTAGATGTCTTTGTTTTCTTAATCTTCTAGTTTCAACATTTCTGAATGGATTATTTAAATCTGCATTTCTACAGAGCTGTTTCTGCTTGGGGAAGGGAGACTTTGGGCTATTAAGAAAAACTGGGCATGCTTTTCTGCCTCTTTAAGATCCTTTGAGGAAATATAATATTCTGCCCTTTTAATATTTCCTTCTCTAAGGGGCTGACTTCCCACAACGGAAAGTAGGGAAAAGACTTCCCCTTCAGTCATAAGTCAGTGAAGCATCCCTGTTTTTGGAACAGCATTTTTTTTTATTCTGAAATAAATAAATAAATTCATATATAGATGCTGCCAACACAAGCATCTACCAATATTGCTTAGATCTGCAAGCATGCCATAAATCAGGGGTCCTCAACCTTAGCAACTTTAAGACTTGTGGACTTCAACTCTCAGAAACATAAGTATCACAATTGTATATGTACTTCTAGAAGCAATATGATGCTATCTATATATCTATTCAATGGGAAAGGGAAATGCAGCCAATGATCAGAAAAGCTAGCTTGCATACACATTCCATCTATCATCAGTGATAAATCTGTGGGTGACCTGGACTGCACAACAGTGTGGGCTCCTGCTACCTCAGCCCCATTCCCAGCATAGACCACTGTGCTGCAAGGAACAGGTAAATGTGTTCTCAGTGACGGCTGTTCAAAGATTATCACAATAATAATAACCATGAGGATAAATGTTTATTCACTTCAAAAAAAAATATCTTATACAGTTGCTGTGGAGAAAATAGGAGAAGGATGGTGTGCTGGAAATATTCAGCACCTTGAGTTATTTGTAAAAATAATAAAGGTGGGATGCACATAAATAAATGAAATAAATAGTTGGTCTTTTTGTAAATTGCCAATTGTTACCCTAGGACTAGGTTGAAGGACAAAATAGGAAATATTTTGGATCATCCTGCCATCTGGTGGCTAATTCTTACAATGATAGAAATATTTCTCATTGTGGATCTCCGTGTTTTTTGTGGTATCATTAGCAGGCTATCTGATAATATGATTCATATATGGAGAATACAGATCTAGTACATTGAACTGAAATCAATGTATCTATTTTCCCATTAATTTCTGAAGAATAATAAGTGTGGTTGTCTTCCTGCAGTCAAATGTAAATAAGATAACATGCTTCTTAAACCTTTTCTTTCTTCTAAATCAGAATTACTAACTACAGTTTGATTAGAACCAATATTTTTTATTAAGTAATTTTCTAAAGTTCTTTTAGAAGTAACTGGGGAGAAAAGTGTGAGATTTGTTTCTATGCAAGTTTGGATGATGTCCTTCAATATCTTAAGTTTCAGACTTTATATCCTGAAACACAGATATTGTATTTATTGAATCCATGATCAGAACAATAAAAAGAGTTGGGTTACAAAATTGCATTGCAATAATGTGGCATAATCAAACTGATAGAAACCACATGTAAAATCCTAATAACATAACATGTGACATTGTTTACTCTGAGTTATAATATTTATTATTCATTACCCCAGATCTAATTCTATGGTAATTTTTAATAGACATGACACAAAATTTAGTTACATTACAGGTAATGTTGGGTTTGCTATCTAAAAAGAGGAAAGAAATATCGTGGCATATGTTCCAACAAGAGACAGAGGAGACATTGATGTCTACCTTGATAATATGAACAGTACAACAAGATACATTGGTGGTTTCTACTGAAGTTGAATCTCAAGGATTACCTGGAGAAAAGAATTTTGGCTATTCTACCATTGAGAAATTATTTTGGGAAAACACCATTTTTTGCTCTAATAATGGGTCACCTCTGAGCAGGATATATAAGTACATTTCATTGTTTGGTATTAATAATCTAGTCCTAATAAACTGATATTTCTATATTCTAAAAACAACAACTAGTCAAGGGGAAAGCCAAAAATGGCAGGTATTTTTTAATTTATTAATAAAGGGATACTGAAATTAATCCATTAAAACTAACAGAGTCAAACCTGCTGAGGAAAAATGGCAATTAAGACAATGATGAAATATGAATAGCTGTGCTTTTGCTTCTACTTTCAATTATCTTAACATTCATAGCTCTAGTGATGTGTTTGGTACACATTTAGGTACATGGACAATTAACTATAGGAAGCACTTGGGAACATTTATAGAGATATATAATTAGGCAATGGGCCTGACTTTGTATCATAAAGTATTTGGCCTGTAACTTTTGCCTTAAGTAACTTCAGTGCTTCAGAAATATATTATTTGACTAGAGCATGAAAGAAATTTAATTTTGCTGCTGAGCTCTTTAGTACTCATTGTTTTATATGATCTGTATGAATTTTCCAAGATCCAGTAACATTTAGAAACCCCCTTCCCCAAAGTTTTAAATGCTAATTCAATTTCTTTTCTCTGCAATGGTCCATTTTTAAGGTTTTTTTTTAAAGAGTAGTACATTAGTTTTCTGGTTTTCTAGTTAATTGCCAACTGCTTATTACTGAAGTACTATCCAGCTCCAAAAACTAAGGAGAACACATTGCGATTCTTCTAAGCAGATTTATTTATTGTTCCTCACCTACAGACAGAAACCTTGTCAAGCTAAAGCAGACTACTTGCATCATAAAACATGTACTGTAGGAACTATTAGGGAGTAGCTGTCTTTACCCTTTTTCTCTCACACAAACTATGCTCTCTCTTGCTCCTCTGGAATGCACTCCCTCTCTCTTGGGAATCCCAACGACATTCATCACAAATAGATTCTGTATGTGTAATGTTTTCTCATGAACTGCTTTTTCCCACACCTCTTCAGGGTGACATCATAATCTCGGTGGTTTCACACCTCCATCTGGGCAATGTGGTATGCATTCACTTGTTAATGGATCCTTTTGAGCTGGGATATCAGAAAGTGCCCAGACATGCTGATCAGGGATACTAGCCTTGCCACTGGCTGTGAAAAAGTGACGATACTGCCTGTATTAAAATTTTGTTCCATTTACTTACAAACTAGCCTGGCACATCAGAATGAAAGTTTGCAGTGTTTATAGAAATTATTAAAAGACTCATTATAAAATGGGTAATATCAGATGATTAAAACAGTGATATATATATTAGTGTTCAAGAAGGAATTGTTGAAAAGGAGGATGTGTTAAAATGTAGAGAAACAGTAAAGCTACAAGTTTAGATGGCATAAAGCAGACATGTCAAACACAAGGCCTGGGGGCCAGATGCGGCCCGCGAAGTGGTTTCATGTGACCCACAAAGCCTTCCTGGAAACAGTGAGGGAACGGCCTCCGCTGCCTTCGCCCTGGCCCAGGCTGGCCAGGAGGGAACCAATGTACAATTTTGTGGTGGCCATCTATGCTGAAATGCATTCACAAGGCCATCTGGAAACAGCGAGGAACCAGCCCCTGCTGCATTGGCCCTGCCCCCTGGGTGCATGCTGGGGAGGTGTCACCCTTTGTGAGGAATGA